ACTCGATCCCGGGACTCCAGGATCATGACCTGAGCCGAAGGCAGTCGCTTAACCAACTGAGCCACCCAGGCGCCCCGACTTTACTTCAATTTTAATAAAAGAGCCGAGGGGCAGGAGCAGAGAAGGCAGAATGTGACTTCAGGCCACATGGCACCAAGAGCCACAACCCACGGTGGCCGCCAGGGCTGGAGCGCGCCTCGGGACGAGCAAGCGTTGGCCTCGTTTCCTGACCACCTGCACTGGCCATGGGGGCTCCTGTCTCTCCTCTCCTGAGCATGGAGATCTCCTCCTCTCTCGCTAGCGCCCCTCAGCTTGACTCTCAGACGAAGGAACTGACTGGGCTGCCCCCGAAGCCCCGCTTCCCCGAGTCTGGCTCCAGGGACTACATCCTCCGTAGGCCATGGGGTAAGGGATTTGCCCCCAGAATCCTTCAGCTAGTCCCTGGGAGAGTCAGGCAAAGAAGAGACTCTCCCCTCGAAGTCAAGATGATTCCCCTCTGTACCAGTGAAGAAAGAACTAGATTCACCAAACAAAAATTCCTCCTTTATTCATCAAGAGGACGCCCAGCGCTTTGCTACTGGAAGAGGCATGCAGTGCCAGGTTCCTGACGGCGGGGCCCGCGGCGGTCTCTTAGCGGTGCTAGGATGTGGGAGGCTGAGCTTCAATCGCTAACACACTCATGCACGTACACAGGAACAGTAAGTTTCCCGAGGCCTTCAGAGTTGACGGGGCCAGGGCAAGACAGAGACTCGGGCTTTTCTTACCTGCTGTAGGCACGCTAACGTTATACTGAGGTAAAATAAATAGGAAGGCAGTCTTGGCGGTGACCTGTAAAATAAAGGAAAAATGTTCCGATTTAGCTTCTTGGTCACATCAGAAGAAACAAGCGGATCCTGCTACCAGCCCCCAGGGCCCTTCCCTTTTGCATCGCAGACCCACAGACCTGTTCCATTACACACAGAAGAACCTCAGAAGGAGTTAGCACTGTGTGTGTGTGTTTGTTTGTTTGTTTCCCCGTGTTTCTTGAACGTCATGCCTCCCAATACCTGCACTAAAAACAAACAAGACAGTGCTGGGCACTGGGTGGTATCTAGGCTTGTACTTGCTGCAGATGAAACCAAACAAGCCGAGAGCTCACAAGCTAAGGGCACAGACCTGCCTGCCATCCATTCAAGTATTTATTAAGTTAGTCCAAGGACCCAGCACTGTGGAAGACAGCAGCCGGTAGAAAATGAGGACTCCGACTTCAAGAAGCTTCCACGGGGCGGCGGTCTCCCCAGCACACCAGCCCCCGAAGTCTACACCCGAGCTTCAGAAACCGAGAACCGCAACTGCTAAGTTCACATCCACTGTGCTGGGGGGCCAGACTTAACACCCCACACTACTGGCTTGTTTATTTCGAACGCTGCCTCGAAAATCTTACTTGTGCTGTCCCTAGTCTATGCTTGTCACCTGGCTAACAGCAGCCAAATCAGTACTTGGGCAGTTCGGCCTGCAGGGAAGAGCTGACCAAATGTGGGGGTTCAAAGCTTGGACTTAAGGATCGACTGACTACCTGGGTTCAAATGCTGCCTCTGCCGTTGCTAGGTGTGTAAGCTCAGACCCCGAGCCTCAGTCTCCCTGTGCACAAGATCAGGGACATTCGTAGTCCCCCAGCTGCTCTGGGTGGCACTGGCCCAGCTGCTAGTGTGGTTAAAGGCTCCCCAGATGTTTCTGATGGGCAGCTGGGGCTCAGAAGCCCCACCCACACCGTTCCGAAGCAGGGGAGGACGCCCCTGGATACACCTCAGCCATAAAGACTTACTGTTCTCCTCTAAGCAAAAAAGTCTGAAGGCTGTACTGTGGGTGGGGGGGAAACACACTGGGCATAGCCAAAGCAGCGTGGAACCGAGTGAACGACGCACTGCAGACCCTCCCGGGTGGACTCTCAACACACCCAGAAGGAGGGGACTGTTTTCGGCCACTGTCCCCGTCAACAAGCCCCATGTCTCTGCAGCAAGGTTCTCCTTGTACACAGCGATGCATGAGGCTTCGCGTGTATTTGTGCTGTTGTCTGGGACATGTTCTGTCATGCTCGCAGGGAAAAAGTTAAATGAGACTAGGGATAAGAAGGCGCTCTGGAAAACACAAAGCCCTATCCAAATACACAGGTCTTGGGGCACCTGGGTGGCTCAGTCGTTAAGCGTCTGCCTTTGGCTCCGGTCATGATCCCAGGGTCCTGGGATCGAGCCCTGCATCGGGCTCTCTGCTCGGTGGGAAGCCTGCTTCTCCCTCTCCCACTCCCCCTGCTTGTGTTCCCTCTCTCGCTGTGTCTCTCTCTGTCAAATAAATAAATAAAATCTTAAAAAAAAAACCCCAAATACACAGGTCTTCCCCGATCTCCACCCCAAAACCTTTCTACTGTGGTCCACAAGACCTTTTTCAGGGGGCTCCCAATCTCCCTTCTAGTAAATTGCTTGTGTTTCAGCCAAACCCCTTTGGGGGGCTTTAGCCCCTCTCACTTTGTATCCTACTTTTGTTACACTCCCCCCTGCTCCACACACACACCAAATCCTATTGATCAGAATCTCATTTATCCATCATAACCCAGCTCCCCTATAGCCCCTCCAGGAAGCCTTCCATAACAGCTCACAGGGGGGGATGCCTTCTTCTCCTGGAGGTGCCCTCCACCATGCCCCCCATACCACCCTTTCAGTCTCCTCCTTGTAGTTCTCCTCATATGCCGCTCCTTGCACACAGGGACTAACCCAGATGCACATGGGAAGGGCTCAGGAACCACTCAACGGACAAGATGGAAAATCGAAAGCTGAGTCTGGGCTGGCTTGCTTCACTCAGCTGTTCTGTCCCCACTCGTTCACGGGAGCTGCCCCACTGCCATCACTCTGGCCGTCTCCCTGTCACCTCACTGTCCCCCAGCCTCCTCCTTGACACCATCTGGCTGCTAACCCACCGGAACCCACGCCGTCATGAAGCCCAGCACCCCCACCACTCCAGCCACGGCGGTGCCCCTCCTGAACTCCACTCACAGTGGTCATCCTTGACCCAACTGCCTGACTCAGTGCTGTCCACCATGACTCCTTCGAGGGTAAGCCTTGTCTTCTCAGGCTGACAGCCCTGCGAGAGAAGACGTGGAAGCCAGAGGGAGTGGGAGAAGGGAAGAGAGAGGAGGAAGGCAAGCAGACAGGCAAGAAGACAGTATTTACCCAACACTGCGCATGTTCTAGGCACAAATCTCCATTCAGTTTCATCCGGGAAACACACCCATCTTTTAAGTTCGTGGGGTGGAGTGGGCCTCCGTGAGGTTTTGGCTGACTAGTATCACAACCCCTCTGTGTTCTTTGCCTTCCACCCTTCAGCAGCCCACCTTCATGTCTCCCTCCATATGTTTGGTGCCAATTCCCGAGCGCTCTTCCTATGCATGCATCCATTTGGAATTTATTTCATTTTATTTTGACATTGTAACTCGAGCTGTGTTTATATAACTTGACGCAAGGGATGAAAGAGTGAAAAAAATTTAAAAAGAGCTACACCTTATAAATAACATTTAAATCACATTTTTAGCTCTGTCAGTGAAATGGTTACTGCAGTATCCTATAGGCCAAGATATAAATCTACTCAATGTACATCAAAGTATTTGAAGTATAGTTAGCTACATGGAAAATGTGTAGGTCAACTTTTGTTTACTCATGTCAACATACAAACACCTGGGTATATAATAAAAACTTCCTGACACATTCTAGTACTTTTCATTAATATTTTTCACAGGGTCACCAATATTTGACACCAAAAGCTCATCTAAATAAAATGGGATCTGACGGTGTATATAAATGTATAGAGTCTGCTACTCTAACTCCTAAAAGAATCATCCCACTTTTTTTCTTTGAGGAAGATAGACATTTGGTATACGGGCTGTACATGTATTTTTTCCCTAGTCCTGAAGATAGAGTCACCTCTTGTTATTCACATTAGTTCTGTTCAATGAAGTCACTGCGGGTGCTGAGTTAGCGGACACGGGACTGTTTCTCCCCGGGGAAATACAGGGTTAGGTACCCACGGTCTCTGGTCACAACATTTCCATCAACCCATCAATATACAACCTTGTTTATGTGCGTTTTTCTTTAAAGATGCGATATTTAATGTATCTTGCTGAAGCATGAACACTGAACCCATAGCCAACAGCACTACAATTCGTGCCTATGGAGGCTTATCTAACGCACGTATGTTCTCAGTGAGGCGTATCAGAGCCTTCTCATGCTTACGAACAATAGTGCTTCAGCACCCAGGGAAAGAATCATTTTAAACAGCAAAATCAGCAACAAAACACACAAACATGCAAAAAAAAAAAAAAAGTGGCACGACATAGACCACAAAAAGGACACTTGCTTACAACAGGAGAGCTGAAACTAGAAGGCAAAGCATTGTCTTGTTTGACTTCAGCTGGGAACGTGCTTGTGGGGTGACTCAAATTTTCCACTGCTGTGTGTGTGTCCACAAACGACTGCAGAATCGCCCGGTGCTGATTTTAGAGTTACAAATAAATTTTAGCAAGCAGGAGCATCAGCAGACACAAAATGTGTGAAGGATGAGGATCAACTGTGTTGGGACAAACTTGACAGCCAGCTCCATGAGGACCAAGATATTTCCTTTTGAAACACCTTTTTGAAGTATAATTTACACACTATAAAATTTACCCATTGTAAGTGTACAGCTTAATGGGGTTTATCTTTACTTACTTTTAAACTCTCCCTTCACTGGAATAGAAGTACTAGGGAAGTGGGGATCTTACCTGTCTTGGTTATCTTCAATCCATAGCCTGAAACTGTGCCTAGGACACAACCAGCACTCAATAAGCACTTGTTAAATGAACACAGTGATTAAATAGAGGAGCCAGGATTGTGCTCAGGTAGCTGACCCTCAGCCTGTCATCTGCCCACATTTATGCTTGTATCCATGTCCTCTCTCCCTGCCTGGGATCCCCAGTGCTGGGCCTGTCGTAGGGTATCTCATAAATACCTATTTGATGAACTAACACTGCAAGCAGCTATAATAGTAACCACAGATGAATGCTTAACAAATGGTTTCCGAACATGATTCTCAGAGAATAGGATCTAGGACTCTGATTAAAGCAAAAACACCAAATTCCAGTATTTTTCCATCCCCAACCCCTGGGTAGCAGCAGGAGAAACCATTCTGGGCCATGCATCCTTCTCTGTCGAGAGCCATGCTCACTCCCACTTCACTACGTCTCAGCAAGCTGATGTCAGTTTCCTCGTTTTATAGAAGAAGATAAAAGTGGGGCCCAGACGCGCAGACGCGCACAGTGGCCTCCTGAGACCTCACAACTTTATAAGCAGAAAAGGCACGTTCAATTTGAGTCTTAAAAAATGTGTTCCAAAAACAAACTTAGGATACACACAATATGGCACATAAGACAGATTGGCAACTAATAAAAGAGAAGCAGGAGAGGACCAAAAGTATCTACTGAAGGCAAAGAGGAGTAAGGAATGAAGCTGATCCACAAAAATGCAGTCCAGGAAGTCCTTCTCACTGGCTAAACGTGGCCAGAAATTTGGCTCTACGCTTTCCTGAAGCCATGTGAAGGGGGAAGGCATGATCTGCTCCTTCATTCACCGCGTTCATTAATTTAAAAAGCAAAAAGACTCCTCAAAAAAAGCAGTTCTACTTCTCCAGCATAAAAACCACTTTCCGCACTTTAGAAGGTCCTTTGGCACCCCAAAACCTCCCTCCATAACCTTCTGCCAACCTCAGAGCAAGGACAGAACAATGACCAAGCCCCCTCCGCAAGTTCTCGTTGGGTTCATAGAGCA